ATCTGGGAATTGAATAATACAGTATTTAAGGCTAGAAGGCCATTATTTAAACCACTACAGGTTAAAAGAGAAAGAGAAAGAGAGAGACAGAGAGAAAGAGAGGGAGAGAGAGAGAGAGAGAGAGAGAGAGAGAGAGAGAGAGAGAGAGAGAGAGAGATTTTGTTCAAGAGTCTAGAAACTGAGAAGACCAAACAGCATGCTTCCAGCTCATATGGAACACAACTTCCTGGATCCAGCAAAGCATTGTAGAGAAACTGGTAAAACTGGAAAATAACACAAACCAATTAGAAGTGTGTTAGTCTTTATCAGAGAAAAACAGTCTGACAAAATTATCTTCCACTAAATTTCATCTCTTACAGATTCATCTAGAAAACTGTTACAGTATAGATGTACCACCACATTAACCTCTAGGACACAAAGCACATAGGCAAACCACTGTATTTAACATTAAAGATAAGGAGTTAATTTAGTTTTTATACTTCAAAATTACATATAAAGAGTAGATTCTCAGTGGAAAAAGTATTTTAGTTGAAATGTTGCTTGGTTTCCTTTTGAGAATTTTATACAGAAGTACTATAGCTATATCATTTACACCCTTCCCTTTTTGCCCTGTTATGTTGCCACATACTCATTTTTAAATATATGACCTCCTCTATAATTATCAATAATGTACATATATGCTAAAGATAAATAGAATTAATATATAAATAGAATTAATTGAATAGTTTGAAAGAATAGCATGCTACAAATTAGAATAAATTTTATGTAGAAATTTACTGAATTTATAAAATTTTATTATTTAAACTATTTCATTAGGCTATTTAGGGCACTAAAGTCACTAGTACTGTCTTATGAATAATGAAAGAAAAAAACGCAAGTAAATAAAGTTCCATTAACATATAAGGGCTAATGATACTGTGAATATATCTTCTGCCATATTTGGCATTTTTTCTCACTTCCTTTTCTAACTTTAATTGAGAGTTATTTTTAATTGATTTTTAATATTCTTTTTTTTAAGACACTAATAGTTTTACTCTGCACTGTGAAAAATATAGACTGGACAAGAAGGATGCAATAATGGCACAATTGTTCATGGGGATAAGCAGCCACTCTTTTGATTGGATTCATGGTCTTCACAGAAGGGAAATCATGTCTTATTAATATTACCATGATCGAATCCATGGCTAGGAAGTCACAACCTAGGAGAGAACCCGTTAAAGCTACTTTGCTAAATGGTCATGTTATCAAATTTTCTTTTACATATTTATGTATATATCCATAGATTCTGTTGCCCTCAGTCTTGGTAACAGCTGTAATCCTTTTTCAGGAGAGGGCAGTAGTTAAGTAAGTAAGCAGTTAATGTTGAGATTCATATATGTTCATAATTCTGGGGATAAATAAGGAAATTGAGTGTTGAGCCAATTATGGATATCTTTGTCAGCTTCCTTGCCAGGGCTTTGCAAACATTATAAAAGAGAGTGGAAAAGAATTGAATGGCTAGAGGGTACAGAGGAGCTTAGAAAAATGCTGGCCTCTGGCCATGAGTTTGTTGTTACACACAGGGACTCATAAAGGCTGTGGGAACCTGTGAAAGACCTATAGAAGATCAAGATAGTCAAAATTTCCAGCAAAACAAGGGTAGGTATAATATTACCCCATCCCTAGCTTAAGAATTAGTGGGGCAATTGATATCTACTGAGGAAGGAAGAATCACTTTTCTTTGGGTGTAGACCACATAGAGATTGTCCATGTTCCAGTGGATGACCTCATTTGTATTTCCATTTGGGCAACACTTATTGCATTTAGTGGGCCATAAAAATAATTTAAAAATAAGGAAGATCATGAAATTGTAAGATAGATGTGTTAGTGAAGCTGAGGAGACTTAGAGGAAGAGAGTAGTGGGTGGTTATAACTAAAATATATATTGTGTATCTATATAATTATAGGTAGACATATACATGAAAATTTCAAAGGATAAAAATGCAATACAGTTAAAAAATCACAAACATGTCTATGATCAAAATAAAAAATAACATTAACTGAAATTGAGTGAAAAACAATTTTGGACTCCACTTCTTAAATGCAGCCCGTTTGACCTATAACTATTGAATGAAAATAATGCAAAAGAAAGGTTGTGACAGATGTGAGTCTGAGTTCAGAGGACACTGCTGGAGTTTCCCAGGCTCTTTATGGCTGTCACAATGTACAGACACACATACTAATTACAGGCAAAGTGATAGCTTATCAAAGGTTTGCAATACTTGAGCAGTAAATTGTCTCAGGGCTGGATTATAGTTCTGTTATTGATACTACTTTTTAAATTTAATTTTTTAATTTAATTTATTATTTTACATGTCAATCCCAGTTCTGTTTCCCTTCTTCCCTCCCTTTTACCCACTCTGCCCTGTCACATGCACCCTGACCACCCTCCACTTCCATCCCCCCACCCCAATTCCACATGTAGGGCAATGCCATCCAGATGGGGTCATGTAGATCTGTAAATCATTTGAAGTAGGGACTAGGACTTGTTTCCTGTCTCCCTCCATGGGGGATGTGTCCTCAAGGTCCTTTTGTGCACCAGGGATACATCCAGGTTCCACTGTCTGAGGTCCCTTACACTGCTTAGTCCTTCTGGCTGAAACCCATATTCAGGGGGCCTGAGTCAGTCCCATGCTGGATTCCCAGCTATCAGTCTGGGGGGCCGTCAGTTCCTCCTTGTTCAGGTCAGCTGTATCTATGTGTTTCTACAACCTGGTCTTGTTTTCTCCGTTTGCATCTGGGTTCTAGTTCGACTCAGTGTTTAGGTATGGGTATTTGCTTCTGTTTCCAACAGGTATTAGATGAGGGCTCCATGGATAAGTTACTTATTGATGTCACTATCCTGGAAGGGCATTTATGGTAGCCTTTCCATGGATGCTCAAATTGTTAGTTGGAAGTCTTGTAGGTCTCTAGACCTTTAGGTTCAGTTTTCTTTTCAAACCAATAATGGCTCCCTCTTTTATGTTCTCTCTCTCTCTCTCTCTCTCTCTCTCTCTCTCTCTCTCTCTCTCTCTCTCTCTCTCTCTCTCTCTCTCCTGTCTCTTCTATTCCTACCCTAACTCAATCTTCCTAGTCGCACGTGCTTTTTTAGTGAATCAGCTTTATTTATTTTGTTGAAAACAATTTTCTGCATAGTTTGCCATTTGATTTCTATGTTGTGTTATCATTAAGTAGGTTGACTAAGTGAGAAGGTTGCTTAGGTCACTTTTCCAAAATATTTCAATTATTATTCAGATACTTTCACAATCCATAATTTCTTATATTTGTGCTTCTTGGATACTTTTTATTATTATATTATTTGGTGAATAAAAACTAGAATAACTTCAAGTTGTGATCAAGCGCTTAAGGGCCTAGCATTGATATCCCCAAATTTCCCTCTGTACTAGTTGGATTCCTGTACATTGTCATGTGTCTATTCAAATCACCACAAATAAAAAAATTCCCTTGTTAAACCTAATAATATTTACTTCCTTCATAGATTTGTGTAAGGAGTAAGGTTTTTCCGCCTGCAACTGTTCTTGTCCAGCTGCTGCGCCAGCCCCAATTAACACACTGAGACTCTGTATTTGATATAGTACTGTTTTCCAGGTTCTAGTTTCTTATCGGCTAGCTCTGTCTTAAGTATTAACCCATTTCTATATATTTCCACGTGGTCTCATTGTAGAGCAGGGGCCAGCAGTTTTGCTCTTTCCCATCTCTCCATGCTGATTCCTCCTTACTACTTCCCTTTACTCCTTGTCTCTTAGACCCACTTATCTTCCTTTCCTATTGGCTAACAGTGCTTTATTCATTAACCAGTATGAGGTACATATTTACAGAATGACATCTCCCATCAGATTTGTTTTCTTCAAGATAAAAGAAATTACCATTCAAGGCGATGAGCCTGAAAATGTTTAATCTTTGATATCCTTTCCCTTGTATTCTTAGTCATATATGCTTTGTAAATGTATAGTTTTCTCTTCCTGCAATCCACTACATTTGATCACCAGTCACCCTCTTTGTTGCAAAGCAACTGCTTTCATTCAATCCCTGAAGATTGTTTTTGTATAGTTCCTTTGCTGATTTTATTCTAAATTATTTGGGAGCATAATGTAATTAAATTAGCTAAAGTTAATTTGTAGTGTTTTTGAGACATACATTCCTTAGCAATGTTGTGGAATATTTTCTGAAATGAATTAAAAGGCCATTACATTGTTTAGTAATTAAAAAAAACTTTCTGATATTTAGATATTTCAATGTGAGCAACAATATTGTTTCTTAAAACCCACATACAGACTGATGTTCATACATGTATTTAAAATAAATATTCATAAATCCTGTGCCAGTAGATACTAATTTCAAATTCTTGACAGAAATCTGAAGATAATAAACAGTCAGACCTTGACATTATTAAATGATACATGAGACAGTTATGCTAATGTAACCTCTGACTTATCCATCATTTAGCATCCAAAAGTCCCTTTTGAAATGAAATTGACATTCTATTATTTAGAAAATGTGGCTGTATATACTTTTATGAAAAAAAGGTATTGTGTTTTTAAAGTTAATATGCAAGAATAAATAAAACACGATCTATTTTGTTGGCAATTAGTTTCTAAAAACATTCTCCCTCTAGGTTAGAGTTTAACATCATCACCATTTAGGCTTTTGTTTTGTTTTTGTTTTTCTTCTTTAAGACAAGGTCTCTTTACCTATTCCTGATTATCCTGCAAATCACTATGTAAACCAGACTGACCTTGAACTTACAGAGAACCACCTGCCTCTGCCTCCCTAGCACTAGGAATAACAGTTTACCATTTACATTATAACATGAGAAAAAGGCCTACTTTCTTTAATGTTGTAAGAGTACATTTTTTCCCTATTGTCTTACTTTGCAGAGTATAAAGGTAGTCATGGTTTATAATAATAGTGATGCTAGTCACATTCACAAATATAAACACAGAAGAATGTTGCTTTTTCAGGTGATCAAAGCAGTGGAAGAAGGCTACCGTCTGCCAAGCCCCATGGATTGTCCTGCTGCGCTCTATCAATTAATGTTGGATTGCTGGCAAAAAGATAGAAATAGCAGACCCAAGTTTGATGAAATAGTCAACATGCTAGACAAGCTGATACGAAACCCAAGTAGTCTGAAGACACTGGTTAATGCATCGAGCAGGTACAGGCCTAACTGGAGAAATTCTCCTGAGTATATCTGATCAGTCTGATGTAATAAATGCTTTATCAATTAAGTCATTAATATATTACAGCATGGATATGTGTGACAGTTTATTTAACTATAATCTTTCATAATGTTTCCCTCTTGAAATAAAAAAAATGCAGGCAATTTATCCCTTAAGACATCTTTTTGTAACCTAGTTATGTAACATGTTATTGTCAAAACAATACCTGCACTCTACACTGAAATAGCTTTAGAAAACAAGATACAAGTGTGTTTAGAGCATAGGTTCAGGCAGAAAAATGATATATAAGAACCTAACCAAGCACCAATGAATTTGAAACCAGACAGCTAACAGTGATTCCACATGAACTCTATGAAATATATTTCAACATTTGTTATTAACATATGATTACATTGTTGCATTCAGTTTATGAACAATGATAACTGCAAGGAATCTTTTGTTTTGCCTTCATCTGGCTGTACAGAGATATTTAAGGTATTTGGTTAATCCCTTAGTATTCAATTTGAGCATTAGAACTGATAAATGAATAACCTTGTGAAAAAATATGTGCAAGCCAATAAACAAAGTTTCTATTTTTTGAATTGCAATAAGAATACATTTAAATAATATTAAATATTTCCAAAATATTTTTCTCTTCATCTGGAAAAATATTGAAATAATCCCACTAATAAAAATCAAGTTGGTTCCAAATTATTACTTTCAATTTATTTAATGCCATTGTCTGTTTTTTACTATTCTTTTTTACCAAAAAGGAAATTATGCTAGTAAATAAACTGGCTACTTATTAAAATGAATTAAATGAAGCTGTTTGTTTATGATGAAGTTATATAAATTGTCTGATCCTGATGCAACTTTTGTTTACGAAGTCATTTTAACATAAGTCAGAAATGAGCTATCAAAATCTGTTGCCGAATTTTGAACTTTATAAACTAACAGCTAGAGACTATATCTTCTTAACAAATATTGCATATATTTTCCCTAAATATCTGCTTTTAATTTCCTATGGTCATGTATATGTAAAGCCTTTCTCTAATCTACTTGTATGAATAATGTTGAGATGACTTTTACAAATTAACTAATGAATTAACTAATGAAAAGTGATAATAAAAATAATTTTCTAGTATTCTAAATCATATTGATTTTTCTAAATCCTTCCTTATTTTCTGATATATGGTATATAGGATTTTCTTATATATGGTTTATGGAGTTCAGCATATTAGGTTTATGCCTATGTTAAGCATTTAGACAATAGCATTCACTATCCAACTTTAAATAGTCACGTCTAAAAACTAATTCTGCAAGGAGTTGTTCATGACTAATTATCCATTATCAGTTATATTAAAAAATTTGATGACATTGGTAACTATATAAATTATATTTGAAATTCTATTAGTACGTTATTTTTTCACTGAAGGATCTTATTTTCTAAACTCTTTTGGGCTTTTCCTACGGTAATATCCTTTAGAATTGACTATTTACAAAATTGTGATGATTACTTAATTTAATATTAGTCTTCTCTTAACCTGTTATTTTCTTCATTTCTATCTTTTATAAGTCTAAATTTTTGATTAATGACCATAAATCAGTATACTATATTGTTCAACAAATATTCACCATCCCGGTCTGTGTTGTGCTGTGAGCCAAGAGCTGAAGACACCAGGATCAATCTGGCAGATTTATATATAATCCGTTTATGGAGCCAGCACCCTGGAGGATGAGATGGAGAAAATAAAGTCATTGTCCTCAGTATTTCTCATCTTAGTCATTCTGGCAGATGTAAGATGGTATCTCAGAGTCACGTTGATTAGCATTCCCCTGATGATTAAGGTTGTTGAGCACTTCCTTAAATGTCTTTTGGACCTTTGAGATTCTTCTGGTGAAACTTCTCTGTTTAGCTCTGTACCCCATTTTTCACTTGGGTTATTTTATATTTTGATGTCTAGTTTCTTGAGTCTTTATATATTTTGGAGATCAGTCCTCTGTCTAATGTGGGGTTGGTGAAGATCTTTTTCCCATCTGCCATTTTGTCTTGTTGACAGTGTCCTTGCCTTACATAAGTTTTTCAGTTTCAGGAGGTCCCATTGATTGATTGATGCTTTCAGTGTCTGTGCTAATGGTGTTATATTTAGGAAGTGGTCTCCTGTGCCAAAGAGTTCCAGGCTATTTCTCACTTTTAGAGTAGACGGATTTATGTGGAGGTCCTTGGTCCACTTGAATTTGTGTTTTGTGCATGACAAAGGATATGGATCTATTGGCTATTTTTTGCATGTTGATATCTACTTATGTCATTGCCATTTGTTAAGGATGTTTTCCTTTTTGTATTGTGGCATTTTGGCTTCTTTGTCAAACATCAGGTGTTCATAGGTATGTGGATTGCTCTGGGCAGGGAAATCAGATAAGATTATAGTAGGTAAACTAGGAACAGGTGGGGCAAAGGAGAATGGGGATGGTTGATGTGGGGAGAGATGGAGTGGAAAAGCGATGAAATAGAGACAGCCGAGCAAGGGAGGTCAAGGTCATGATTGTGAAATCTACAGAGACAGTTTAATGTGGAAACTAATGAACTTTAGACCTACAGCTAAACAGATTCAAGGGACCGAAATAAAGCCTTTCTTTGTATATGGGAGACAGTTGTGAAGTCTGTACTATCAGAGGGGCCCCTGGCAGTAGGAACTTGATACAATCCTGGTACAAAGCTAGTTTGTTGGAGCCCATTCCTTAGGGTGGGATGCAGTACTCAGCCTTAATGCATGGGAGAATGCATTGGCCCTGCCCTAATGTATTGTGTCAGACTCTGTTGATTCCTTGTGAGAGCCCTTACTCATGAGGAATGGATTGAGGGTGGGCTTGAGAAGGCAGTGGGTTGGGAGGAGAAATGGGAGGAAGAACTGTGGTTGAAAAATAAAATAAAATTTAAAATAAATAAATTTTATTTTTTAAAAATAAAATCATTGTAACAACTTATATTTGTTTCTGTGCTGGAGAGGGAGTATAGAATTCCAGATAACCCAGAAGATACAGAGTCTGTGCAGGAGAGACAAGAAGATGTCTTTTAATTTGCATTCTTGAACTTAAAATCTAATTATATAATCTTCTCATTTCCATTTCTTCTTAAACTCCTCCCATGTACTTACCCTGGCTCTCTCTCTCTCTCTCTCTCAAATTCTCCAAATTCATTACCCTGGTTTCTTTTATTGAACACACACACACACTTGTATGTATTTAATTGGATAACCAGTTCTGGTACTTGTCCCTAGGGGGAAAAAATCCTGTAATCCTGTTTCTCCCAATATCAGTCTCTCTAAGATGCCTACAATTTTTTTCCAGGTTTGAAGCCCTGTGAGGCTTTTCCCCCTTCCATGTCAGAATGTATATCCACGTCATTCTTCCAGGTCTTATTTAGACTCTCACATTGTTGAGAGTCCATGAGTATAAACTTTTCTGTGATCTGACTCTTATACTATCCCTGTCTCCTCTTCTGCTGTGTCCATTGGAGCTTTAGGGACAGGAGTTGTACTGAAGATTATCATTTGGGACTGAGCACCATATAGTCACTTGTTTGCTGCATTTTGATCAGTTGTGGATTCTGCAATGCTCTCTGTTGCAAAGAGAAGTTTCTTTGATGATAGGATTAGGTTTAAATATTTAGAATCAGTTAGGCATTATGTTAATTTAATGAAATAGCAGTTGTTAGTTTTTCTTAAAAATCCATGACCTCATTAACACTGAATAATTGGGTAGGATTCCAGTACCAGAGATGATTTCCCTTTGCTGATCAGACTTAAAGCCAAGTGGATAGCTGTTGTTTACCACTATGACATTAATACCATTACTGCATCCCTAGTGAGTGTGATTGCACAATGCTAAGCATTGCTGTAACTCAGTGGCATCATAGATTGAAAAGGTTTCCTTCCTTTGGATATTTTCCTGACTTCTGGTATGATGAGACTTTCAGGTCAGATCATGAATGGATCCTTTATGTTCTGTGTTAGAAGTACATGTTGCCTTTAGCAATAGAAATTTGCCATGAAGATTTCTTTAATTAAGTAGGTGACAAGTGGAAGAGACCTGGTCAGGCATAAAATCTCTTTTAAGTTTTATGGCTAATGTGTACTGAGATAAACTGTGAGAAACAATGAGAACAAGGAAGCATTGGACTCTTGTTTCAAATACTATAATTGGAACGACTTGACATATTGGTGAAGAGAATAAGGAATTTTATTCTGGCTATGTTGGTTTGTTATTTATATTAGAAAAAATGGAAACTCAAAGAGGCCTATGGTTACACATGAAATATTAGCTGGAGATTAAAATTTTACTAAATGAATATAATTTGACACCATCAAAATGAACAATAAGAAGTGTATTTTTTTCACAGAAAACATACTAATTTGCTCTGATAAGACATTCATAGTATATCATAAAAGTCAATAGCTTATTTTTGTTTTTTTCCCACTTATGTATTTTGAATTGTCTATTATGCAAGTAATTGAGTGTTTTCCCTATAATTTAATTGTACTTCCAAAGATTCTTTGCCTGTGACTTAATATTATAATTACAAAATGAAAGGGATCAGTTTGTTAATTCCAATACTTGTGTTTTGTGTGTTATTTCAGAGTATCTACTTTGTTAGCTGAGCATGGTTCTCTGGGGTCTGGGGCCTACAGATCAGTAGGTGAATGGTTGGAAGCAATCAAGATGGGCCGGTACACAGAGATTTTCATGGAAAATGGATACAGTTCAATGGACGCTGTGGCTCAGGTGACCTTGGAGTGAGTAATTTTTCTGATCATTTATACATAATTCTTAGGGAAAGAAAAGTATATTCAGAGACTAGAGTGGATGAAATCAAGGGAAAACAGTTAAGCCGTGTCCATATGTGGCAGATTTCAAAGAAACCTTGTCTTTTTTAGCCTGTATTGTTAACAGCTGCATGGTTCATGCTTCTTGTGACCAGTATCTTTACTTTTCGTGCATCAAACAAACAGCATTTGAGTATTTGGATAATTGGAATTACAATTTCTTGCCAAAGTCTTGTACTTTGTGTTATGGAAAGAGATGTTTTCTTGATGAGTTTTTATACTTATGTTATACAAATGTAAATATAAAACAAAACAAAATGTAAGCACAATTGGTATGGTTAGTCTTGTGTAACAAAAGATAAAAACAAAAACTGAAAGAACATATTTCTAAGTGACAGCTTTTACAGTCAATACCCAGGGAACAGCTTAATCAAAGTTTCTCTGGCAGGAATCTCATTTAATAACTACATGGTGCAACTTTTATTCTTGAAGTCTGAGGATATGTTAGATCCTGCCTCTAATGTGTTGTTATTTCATACAATCTCAGTGGAACCAATTGTGCCCTTTTCTGTTTGCACGTTTAGTGGACAAATTATGAAACCCTATTAAATAAAAATTACTACAGCTAAATATTAATTCTTTAAGACTGTAAGTCATTTGTACGTTATTATATACTCTTTATGTGTAATTATTTTAGCCTAATTGTTATTTGTGAAAATTAATTGTCCTATTGTGGTTCCTTCTAGATTACATCTAAGTTAATACTGTTTTAACATGTGAAGTCATGATAACTGACTTCAAATGACCTGCAAATTTAAAGGTTAAAATATTGTTGTAAGGATTAAAAATGTTAGGATGCTCTAAGTCACTAAACTACTGTCTGAACTTCATCCCTTCATGTTATATCATTACTGAGCATTTATCTAGACATTCCATCTATCATTCTGACATCCTTGATTCATTAAATTTGTTGCTCATCCCCACAAAAGGTAACAGGGTACCATTACTTACTATGGATTAATATCACAGTGCCAGCACTGTCTTCCTTCATACTGGTAGCTAAACATACATAAAATCATAACCACTTGGGTTACTTTCTTAGGTTACTTAATCCCATCCTCACAGCTGCTACGAAATCACATCTTGAAGACATTACTGTTTTACCCATTATTTCTTTGATGCGCAAGAAACTCATCTGTGCTGTAATTTAAAAGTACACTAAAAATATTCCTGATGATTTAAAACTATTTTTACATAATTACTATTTAATTTTTCAGTAAAAATGGTCATTTTAATTTATTAAAGTCATTTGTCATTTTATATTAAAATGATACTGTAGGTATTTCTTCTACCCAATGTCAGATTACCTGTAAATACATAATAAAATTATTTGCATTAAACAATGTCTCTGTTTTTATTAAGAGAATATATGATCATGCTCTTATTTAACATTATATGTAACAATTAGTTACAAATATTGTTTACTTTTCCATTTTTAAAGTTATTTTTGTGTGAGTGTTATTTTTCTGTGAATTATTTTATTGGGGACCTGAAAATAGTAGAGATATGTGTAATATTATTGTACCATGGTCTTAATTTTTCTCATTTCTTAAAATTCTTTCTTATTTATTTCTGTAACCCCTTAAACTCTCTTCTGTTTTATATTCTTTCTTAAGACCTAATTATCTCTTCTATCTCCTTATAATTGTTCCTTTGTTTAATTGCCTCTTTCAATTTACCTTTTAATTCATTTACTGGAAAACAGAAGAGTAAAGACAAAGATTGTTGTCTTATGGAAATTGCTTCAAATTACTAGCATCCACAGTCATTACCATAATCCTCACTGGGAATGTGAACGCTATTTCCAAAAAAAAAAAAAAAAAAAAAAAAAAAAATTTGGAGAGCTTGACATTATAAGATGTAAATTCTGTTGTTTGTTATGACTCTTTCTGACAACAGTATTTCTATTTAGTATGTTTTATCAAAATATTATTTTAAGTTAATACAAAATAGGACTCAGCAGTTGCTTCCTTGGTCAAGGATTAAAAAGGTAATTTGTACAGTTTTTTACATTAACAAAGAGAAAAATGAAGCTGTCCTATGCTGAGAAGTAACACCCCCCCCCAAAAATAGGGTCCTCACACAACTCAGGGGCATGTTCTTGGAACACTGTGGTGATATCCTTGTATACCTAGTCATCAACCATTATTTAAATATTAATTGTATGAATCCTATGAAAGACTACATTAAGACAATACAGTGTTATTCCTAGAAACCAATAAGGGACCATCATATTCATAGCCATATAAATGTTCTGAAAAAAATGTTTAAACAACCAAAAAAGTAAATACACAAAACACTATACATTAAAATTGCATATTATACATTAAAAATGTTACTGCATGACAAATTTGGGTTCATAATAAACTTAAAAACATAAGTGGGAAACAGTTCTTGTCATTATAACCTTTGGTTAAAGACTACCTTAATAAGGATTATTTTGTTTCTCAATTATTTGCCAGTACATGTATGAGGAATAAAAACAAAGACTTTGTGTGTCTTGAAGTAAGGCATACTCAATAAGACTAGCTTTTAACTTTAGATGCTATTGCCTGCTGCCTATCTGCCTTGCTCAAATCATGCTATTCTGTCTGTATACATTAATCATATTTGAATAATTATTGGAGACGAAATGGCAAGACTCTACTATCATGTACAAGTGCAGTGAGTTACTGTTGACAGGGAAAATTATGAGCTGAAGACGAGTTGGAAATTGAAGTCACAGATTTCAAGTAAGAGCATAATCAAAGCTGCTTTGTAGATTTCTTTTCAGGCCAGTGCTGTCAGACCTTGGTTATATGGAAAATGAGCACAATCCATTGAATTTCAATATTATACCAATTTTCTATAAGCTGAATAGATTCCTATAACAGTTGTAATGATGGAGTCCTATGATACTAAAACAATAGTTTTCTAAATCTGGAATCCGAATTTGTGCCAACTAACTAAATAGCTTTATTAACCTGTGAAGGAAATCATTACACATAATTTAGTATGCTCTCAAAGCATGCTTAGGAGAGCTCACTATTTCTGTGACCTATGCAATTAAGCTAATATTCTTTGTGTGTGTGTGTGTGTTTGTGTGTTTGTGTGTGTGTGTGTGTGTGTGTGTGTGTGTGTGTGATTACAAGGTATAATCTCTACAAAATTATTGAATAGTCTCTTGATAAGATTATTTACCTTGCACAGATGATTATTTGCAATTTTAAAATTAAGCCAGGAAAAGGTGACAGTACACAGCTAATTTATAAAACTGATAAAACGAAAATTTTGTGAGTTGAGTGATTATTCATTACTGTTTCATTTCTGTTCTACCATCCAGATAGTGGTAATGTGGTTTAAATCAACTAATAGTGCTAAAATGTACAAAGCACAACAGAAAATGAGGAAGAAGATATCTTCCTCTATTTTTCTGTCTCTCTATCCCTCCTTCTCTCTCCCCATGTATCTTCCTCTCTCTGTTTCCCTCTCTGCCCCTCCTTCTCTATCTCTGCCTCTCTTTTCCTGTCTCCCTCTCTTCTCTCTCTCCTTTCTCTGTCTCTCTCTCTCTCTCTCACACACACACACACACACACTCATACACACACACATACACACACACAAGTGCATTCTATTATTAATAATCAAGAGGGTTGTTCCATATGTTTCAGGCACTTTTTATTCTTTACTTTGTTCTACTACTTCAACACCCCAGTGTTTTTCATTACTTTTTATCATAAAATAATTTTTGAAAAGGTGTTGAAATATAATCCAAGCAATGGAACCATGTTATATTACAGATCTTTTAAAAACATGTCATGTCTTTTCAGCATAATGCATTCTTCTATGTCCATTCTCATCATTTTTGGCTATGTAAGCCTATGCTTAAGGGTACTCACTAGTCAATCTACCTGCAACAATAGGCTCTAGGTTCAGTGATAGACCCTGTTTCAATAAATGAATGAATACATGAACATAAATAAGTTAGGCAATTTGGGAAGACACGCAGTTATCAGATTCTGGTATCCATATATGTCTACACATATGAGCATACACATGCACATGGCACATATACAAACAGAGGAATACATACTTGTATGTGCACATACAAGCACATATGCATATAACTACTCACAAAGGAAAACACACATAAAAGAAACTGTTGGAAATAGCCAAAATGCGGGATGAAACTACTTACAATGTTTTAACGCATTTGAGAGTATTGTAAGAAAGATATTCAAGCTTCAGATAATTTTATATAACACCAACTTAATTTTCCAAGATATTGTCTGAGAATGGTTTAAATTGCATAAATACTTGTTCTCTCTCATTTACACTAGAAAGGATATTATTGATTATTTCTATCACAAGCATTAAATTATACTGATTTGTTTCTCTATATATCACTTCATAGCTCCTAAAGTAACAAATTAAATTTAAGGAAATACCTCAAAACTCTATTTAAAAAAACTGTATATTATTAATAAAAATGTTTAAGGTGTAATGCTTTACTTTTGTAATTTTATTTTTCTTATAGGGGAGAATAAAAGAGAGGAAGTAGGGAAGAGGAAGAGAGAGGGCAAAAGTAAGAGAAAAACTTTCAGTGTTCTGGCCATATACCTGTGTGTGTAGTGAACATCAGAAACATAACTGATATTGAAAAGCTATTTTATGTGCTTTTAATTGGAAAGATCAGGACAAATTTAACTTAAAATCTGTATGAGAGCTTCTAGTCAATTATTATTTTATACAACTTTAATTCAATCATTTGAGAAGAGAAATTAATTTTGAACCCCATAAACACACACTATGTACCTGTATTTAGTAAGCAAAATCAGTTCTTCAAAATATTGCGATTTTTAGCATGACAAACTCAATATATCAACAGTTTATATTCTTTCATGGAGAAATAAATTATAATCACATCAGCATTAGCAAAGCTACACATATTAAAAATAAGTCAAATTAATGATTCAATATCATTACAGACAATAGTCACAATGTGGCATAAACATATATATATGCAAACAAGCTCTACAACTCATAGTGTTACATGTGAAAAGTCCATGTCCTTTGAATTAGAAAACCAGTATATTTGGGGTTTTAACTCAGTAAAAGAAAATTCCATAATTATTCTTTAAATGTTATATCTACTGATCACATGAGTAATTATGAAGTATGTAACTTAAATACATATGTTACTTAGTAAAGACATAGTCCTCATAGCATTTCACAATTCATATGTGAAATTCATACATACATTTTAAAATATAATTTCTTATCTCAATTTAATTTTTTAAATCAGGAATTATTATTTCTGAGCTCAAAATTTAGTCCTTTTGATACTGTCGGTGATCTATGCTTTGCTATTAAAATTTTCACTTTCCACATTTTTTCATGAAACTTGTAGAATGATTAGAATTGCCCAACAGTGGGAACAATGTTGAAACTCAGTTATTTGAGGATTTTTCTTATTCAATTATGTTTTCAGAGTTTCCTCTTTTTTTAAAACCAGAAATAATTTTTGCATTTAAGGTGATTTTTTTTCAAAATTAGCTCTAAAGTGATAAGAAATTAAAGTAAGAATTTCAAATTTTTGTGTCTGCTTTTAGTCCTTACCTTAGTTGCCCACTAACATGTTCTACAGCTGAATAATTTAAATTTTCCATATCTGTGTCTCTTTATCCATAAAGAAAAAATTAAATTCTGTGTTGCCATTAAACACTTTTCTAGTACTGAGAAACTGGTTTATTTTTATGCATTACTGGATATTCTTGCATTTACAGGTGTGTGTAGTTTTCAATATGGAGAATATTTCAATTAGGAATGTATCACTAACTGATTAATTTTGTCCCTGCAATTATGAGGACTCTGTCCTTGCAGTCTAGTATCCTCAGTAGAAGCCAGTAAGGCTGTTAAGTAACCTTCATGAATAGAATAACCCTCTAATGGCATTGTTTTCTACTAGTCAATGGTAAGCACTTGAATGCCAATTTAATTGTAAAGAAAGACAACCTAAGTGTTCTATTTGTACTTTAATCTTCAATTATCTATTCCTGTGATAACAATAGAGACTTTCTTTCTAAGTATATTGTTACTGAATCTATGATTTGCTGATGATTCTCTTGCAAACCATATCAGCCTTTATTTTTATATTGTTTGCTGAAACCTTGTAATGAATGTTTAGTATTCACATTGTAAGAAACATATGACTATCATAAGTATCAGTAGTATTTCTTCTTTTCTGAAATTATCATAAGTAATTCAGAAACCATAATGAAGATAAGAAGTTTGAAGTTATCTTAGTAGATGAGTCGTTCCAAGGCTGACAATGTTGGAGCTAAGATGCTAAGCCTTCTTCCTAAGAGATGTCTTTATGTTACATGAAAGTATTTTGTTTTACCTATAATGATTTTGCCATCATCTTCAATCCTATCTGATAGCTAAAAACGTTTAAATTAAGACACTGAGTGCAAAAAAATGGAAATTATTGGACTAATGTTTTAGCAAGTTGACTTTCTAAAGAATTCTAATATACCAGACATTTGTCACTTATAATTATGAGTTATAAGTGTTAATTTTTCTTAGAATTAGTTCATATAATTTCCTAAATATGTGGACTGATAGTATTTATTCAAACATCCTTTCATAGAATAATTTCCTTCAAAAGTCTATGAACTTGCATTTAAAATGCATATGCTTGTTTTTTCATCTCTATATTATGGGTTTAGAAAAATAACAGTTTAAGATTTCTTTTGAATAGTAAGATTGTTTTTGCAATGCAGGAAAAGAATCTAGGATGAAAGACATTTTGAAATTGTGTAGTCTTCAGAATTTTTCAAATGTCAAAAGAAAACAAAAGCTGACATGTGATTTGGTAAAAGATAAAACTCTGGCACTTTGAATCCAAAGTAAAAAATGACACAAACCTTTGTTATAAAGGCACTGTTGTAATAATTATTGTGTAAGGCTGCCTGTTATGAAGCCAGTAGCAGGTGAATGAGACTCTTAAAGGGATCAGTCTTTAATTGACAATGTGCAAAACTTAAAATTACATTTTATATTTCTTTTAGCAAAAATACCATTTGACACTGTATTAGGATCACATTTTCAGTACTGTTCAATGAAATTGTACCCGTTGCCTTTAAAATTATTGAGAATATGTAAACATTCATTTTCACCACTATGTACCATTTAAATTATTATTTTTATCCACTGCAATATACCTGAACATGTCTTTTGGCTGCGAATAGATTGTCTTTAAAGTTTTAGAGGCTACTTTTGAAAACTGGACTGTGAATATCTAAACTTGTCACCATTTTGTGACTAACTCCTGAAATACATTTGTCCCCACCCCCCTTTGCCAGCGTGAGATATTGAGGTGTGCTCCAAACTGAATCAATACATACATCCAATGTGTGCTTTCTTCATGCAGGGATTTGAGGCGCCTGGGAGTGACTCTGGTCGGTCACCAGAAGAAGATCATGAACAGCCTTCAGGAGATAAAGGTGCAGCTGGTAAATGGGATGGTGCCAGTGTAACCTCCACAGGGGTCACTTCTCCAATTGAACAGCTCTGCACTTTGTAAACAGCCCTGAGATTTATTTTAACAATTATAGGGGAAAGGGGAAAAAAGATTGGTCTTTTTTCGAGCCGTTGAATTTGTAATCAATATTTTACTGAAATCTCCAGATCTTCCTCTTAGAGTCTTCATTTTTCATGAAACAAACAGAATCTGCATAAAGTGAAAAATGGGAATAAACATCCTATACTAAAATATTAAATAATCCCTGCCCCATTACTTCCACGGAATCTGGTACATGAAATGTATCAAGACACAGCACCTTTATAGACTGTTAAGGCAGCCCCTTTCAAAACTTGCAGGGATCTACTTGAAAGGAAAAGTTTTAAAGCCATGTGTGGGCTAAGAAAGCTGCGTTTCACTGACGTTTACTTCAAGTCTTAACTGTCTACATGAGTGTATTGAAGAGCAATATGATTAGACTACTTCTTAAAAACAGTTTGTAATTTAAGATGCAATTACATGTTGTTAAGTTATAGAAAATAGAACATAAACATGTTGTTTGGTCAAGGAAATGTTCAATACAGGGTGGATATTTATTTTTATTTTTTCTGTGTTATATAATTTACTTGTAATTGCTCTTCTAGAGACTATTAGATAATGAATGTGTATAAAGTGTATAGTTTGCAATATATCAGGAACTGATTAACCTTGGACATGTGTGTGTGTGTGTGTGTGTGTGTGTGTGCATGTGTGTGTGTTTGTATATCATACAATATTGTTCTGCTTGCTTTTTTGATGGTGTGAATATGAAAGCATATTCTAGAGTGTAATATGAATAAGAGAAATAGGAAACCATTGACCAAAACCCAGCCCAAGTTGATGTCTTTTTCTCTCATTTTGAAAGCAACTTATTAGTTTATTTGAACAGTTCATATCTCTAAGATGAAATATTTTGGATTTTTACAAGCACTTTCTACTATCTCTGACAAATCATTTCCAGGTACTGATCTTACACCCTTCTCTGAAATTCCACTTTTCTAGGTTCCAAAATATTTTCACGAGCAAAGCTGACAAAAAGAGCACATTAGTATGGAATGGGGAGAGATTTGAGTGTGCTGGGCTCTGTTAGTGTCCAGGCAGGGGGCACTCAACAGCTCCCCTTGTGATCATCAATTCAATCACACTCATTGTGACTCATTTATAAAAGTTTAGAACTAATAGGGTAGTAAAAAAATATAAAAAAACATAAAACAACTGTTTCTTACTTAGAATTTTGTTTCCATTTTTCGTTAATGACTTGTTGTTAACTTAATTAATCCTGTCCCCCATTACATACCATCAATTCTACTTTGAAGAACCAATGGAAAATATTTAAAAATTATACTTGTTAAGTTATATAAGATATTCCTTCAATATATTCTGTTTACTATACCAACAAAGGGCTATCATTTGGGGTAAAGTTCTTGAAGCTTCCTGAAATGTTCAAAAATGTGATAGTGACCTAAACAATATTTCAGTATTTTATATTGTTGTGCTTTATCAAATCAGGAAAATGGTATGTGATTTCTGAAGAGCTGAGAACTTAAAGAAGGGCTTTGAGTGTTTCACTGGTAAAGCTTCTCAGAAAAGTAAGACCTGCAAGACAGATGTCAGTATTTTTGTGAGTGGTAGTCCTTGCTCTTTAAGGCATATGTTTCACTCCATATTAACCCAAGCAAGAAAAACAATTGGGAAAAAGGCTTCTTTCCTTCCTTTGTTTCCTCCCTATCTCCCTCCTTTGTTTCCTTCCTTCCTTTCTTTCCCATCCATTTTTAAAAGATGAAATAGTTCTTTGCTAAAGAAATAAGGAGAAATCAATACACCCAAAAAGAGTGTGAACATTGTATGCCCATATTAGATTTAAGAAATCTCTATTGGTTTAGTGAAATTTTCAGACAATATTGAGAGAAATAGTTTAATAAAGTAGTTTAATATTGTCTCATTAAAAATGACAGATAGCATCATTACAAAGATGTATTTATAAGTTTAAACAAACATAAAATCATCAAAACTAATTTCCACCATACAAAATAATTGAAGATTTTAGTATACTCTACTGAATTTTGAAAATGTATTTGAATCTAAGCGATAAAGTAATTTAGAGTACTTCATAACAAAAAAAAATTGCAGATGCATGTTTTGGAGCTTGTACAAGTCACAGCTATATGGCCATAAAAACAATACATTCTAAATTATTTTCTAACTTTGTATGTTCAGAGATTATTGGGGGGTCACTAATATATAAGTGACTGTCTGTTGGAGCAATGGTGTCAGCTTTCTCACAATAGAATAAAAATTAATTTGATTCAAACTTATTTTTCCCTTTGCAATCCAATAGTTACACTGGGAAAGTAATTCAGAAAGAATGTGTAAAAGCCACAGTTTTCCTCTGTATCTCGGTTTGGTTGAGAGTTTCCAGAGAATGTCAATCAGATTTTAAAAGAAATAGACTTTTAAATTATACGTGCATTGCCTCCCCAAAAAGGAAAGAATGCCTTTCTAAAATATTTGTCCACCATTGGAATTGTCACCAATTGAAAAGTGTCAATCTCATCTATAAATGTGAGAAGTGGAAGAGGGAGAGAAACCCACTTTTGTGAAATGTAGTGAGTCTGACACTCAGCACTAGACTTGGCAAATCCTGATGGTGAGAATTCTTTTCCTGTGGATTCATTTCCTTACACACCAACTCCCCCAAATTAAGTACAGATTCCCTAACCTTCACACACACAACTGACTTGTAAAGTGACATGTAACTGTACTGTGAGAGGGTGTCATAGGGAATTGCTCTCAGATAACTGCTTCTGTTTAAAGTCATTTACTCACTATGCTTATCAATTTATATTAAATCACACTGTTCACTAGTATGCAATCTGACAAATATTGCTGTCTCTGAAAAGTATTATTTATATAAAAAATGTAAAGATGTTGACGTTCACCATTTACAAACTCTAAAGTGCATGTTTTTTAATCCCTGTATTTTATTAAGTAACCCAGTGTTCTAAAGTAATAGAATCATTGTAAATTTACATAGAAATACTTTATGAAAACTTAAGTGTGTCTACAATTATTCATTTTGGAATTGTCACAAATAACGAAACACCTTATCTATGTTTATGAAACAATTCTAACAACTATGTAATATAAAAGATACAACTTGCACATCTCATGTAAAAGCAGAGCTGTTACTGTTGCTTGGGCATTAATGCATTTGCACGTCTGCTATTTGAATTCTTGGTGGAAGTGAAAGGCAGTAAAGAAGGTATTTGTATGTCTATCGAAGTGGGTTTTCAGAAGCACAATGAGAAATGTTTGCCTTTGGGAGGTGTTTTGACTGTAATGGTATATTAGATGGCAAAGAGAGTCAGGTGTTAGAGATTAAGTAGGTATGTGATGTCGCATAGTAGAAAATAACATTTTCTCATTTCGTTTTTACTAAAAATTAGGAGGGAGAATTAAATGTGATAATACATAGCCTTTGTTTAAATTATGCCAGATGTTTAACCTCAATGTAAATAAGGAGTAGGGACAATATGATGGCGACGGTGATACTAAAGAGCCAATGAACAGAATCATAATGGTAGCTTTATTTAAAACTTGACAGCTTGAATAAGTCATCTTTTTTTTTCAATGCTATAGCACAGCTGGTTACATTGAATATTTTTCCTCTATTATGCTGTTAATTATATAGTAATGTATCAGGAAAGAAATAGATAAGAACTTTCTTCTCTGTTCTTGTTAATTTATGAGTCTTTTTCATAAATCAATTGTTGAATGTTCTTACTGAGAATGACCATGTAATTGTCACTTAGAAAAAGCTGCTACTCTCTTTTTTTAAAAATATCTGTTTATAACAACAAGATTCAAGTTCCTTTTTCTCAATGTTATTGGAAAAAAGTAAAGTTGGCAAAACCATGTCCCATCTTTTTAGGCTGGGTGCTATAGTAACTGAAGTTGGAGCACTCAACTCTTTGTGAATATTTAAACTACTGTAGCTTTGCAATTAATTGTTTAAACACAATGCATTTGTAATAGTCTAAGACGAAAACCAGATTCGGTCTTTTGTTTAATGTTTATCAAAATCACTTACTTTCATGCAAGTGAGAGGCAGCTTGCCTGATTCTTTGTTAGGCATCCAGAAATCATGTCTCCCTGCCTCACTGTGAAATCAAGGAAGACTAAGCATTTTTTTTTTTTTTTGTATTGTTTCCCATCTGCATTTCTGTGGGCTTTCAGTTTGTGTACATGTTTTTGTAGTGTAAGATATTAAATTTTATATTTTTTCAGAAAATAAAATCCCTTTGAATATAGTAATATCTGATTCTGATTGTCCTACTTTATCTATTTTAAGCTTTCAAATTTATAGCCTTTCATGTAGGATTTTTCTGACAAAAATGTCTATTTTCTAAGTTATGGACATAAAAAGATGATTATACACATATTTTACAAAAACTAAGATTGTAGAACATAACCTATACTCATGGTGACAATATTATACAAAATTCACTTGAGGATAACAATAAAACAAAATAACAGAAAACACAGCAAAAACATTGAAATTATATGTTATTTGTACTATCTACAAAAGGGGACATTTTTGTAAGCGGTATCAACCTGAGACAATCTTATCACTATGTATTTCTGTGTCACATTGTAAGAAGAGAACATTGCTACAAGGAGGGGTTGACAAGCAAGACTTTTTATTTCTGTAAGTATTATATCATAGCGGTATTTTAATATGGCAAGTGGTATCTCTATTCTATGGATTGAATCATGTTTGTAATTGGTACATTTTCAACATAGAAAATGACATACGATGCATATAGAATAATCACAAGTAAGGCTGATGTATAAAATTCCCTATAATTGGGACTTTTATCTATTTCAATATCAGTTCTCACATGTTACGCAGAGTGGGTTGTCTTTAGGCTTACCTTGTTCTTAATGTGCAATAGAAACAAAGAAATTACTTAAAAACAATTTTCCCTATATTACATTTACTATTTTACTATAATTAATATTGACAAAATTAGAATAATGTGGTAT